GAGGGGCGGGGCCGAGAGCCGTGGGAACGGAGCGAGGCCGGTGGAGTAAATGCTAATGTGTGACACCTGCGCCACTCACTGGTAGCCCCTTTCGTTACAGTCAGTATGAATATTCTATGGAAAAAAAGCCGCTAAAAGGGTCTGAAAGTTGCTAAATCTAGTGCTAAAGTCGCGCTCGTGTGTGTGAGACGCGGGAGCTGATGGCAGGGGGCGGTGGATATTTGTGGCGGTCATTGTGGATATTGTGGATGAGTTCTTCTGTGTCATCACGTTCTATTAGTTCTACAGCTTCAGTTTCGGAACTTTCACGCTTAGTTAGTCATACAGCATACGCTTAGTTCCCTCACCACAGTGCAACAGTGAAGATTGCTGGCAACAGCCATTTTTAGGATAGTTCAGATTTGGTCTTAGTGACTTAGGAGTCCTCTTCACTACTCCTAACCTTTCACAGATTTAGGAGCTAATTTTAGAGCTAAAACGCTTTGTGAAATACCCTTAGAACAAAAATTTAGGAGTACTAAATTTAGGACTGACACGCCCATTATTTTTAAAGATTTTCTCCTAAATCGGCGAGTTATGAGCTACTTTTAGCCTTAAGATACGGGCCCAGGATTTGAATTTTTAATGTTATTATAACCTAAAGATGCTATGTGAAAGTTTGAAACAGAAAATAGTGGTTTTCATCTTGCCACTTTCTTGGTAAAGAAAACACATTTTTACTCAAATTAATCAAAATGGATTTATAGCGTTTTGGAACCAAAATCTTCATATATATATATGAAGATTTTGGTTCCAAAACGCTATAAATCCATTTTGATTAATATATATATATGTATGTATGTAACGTATGTAATATCTAACTTTATGGACTGCATATTATATTACATATTATATTATTATCCCGTGTCCGTAAGCCTCACCTGATGATGCTGTCCACACAGTTGATCTGCTGGTAGGATGGGATGTGTGGTTGTTTCCGGGCTTCTCGTAGAGACTGCTTTAGATGATCTCTAATTCCCAAACCCTGACTGGTATTAGGATAAACGCCTGCTGCCGCCACTGATGGAAACAAATACAGTTATATATTACATATTGACCAATTCATGAGATGACTGTAGACGGATGTAGAAAAGACATTCCAGACCTGCAGTGGCTGGTCCTAAAGGTGTGAGCTTCCTCCGGGAGTCCAGATACGCCTGCTGGCCCCAGTTCTTCACTTTATTGACATCAGCACAAAACTGCTGCAATGTCATCTACAAGACAAAAGATCCATCGTTAGGTCTAGTCAAACCAACAATCATATGTGACTTTACATGTACTTTCAGGCGTACTGGTTCTCTGTGCGAATCCTCCCAGAAGTTTCCGTTACTGTCACTGGACAACGCCACACTGATGTAGTGCTCGTGAGAGCCGTTACTACCCAGACTGCCATAGCCACTGGATCCATTATTATGAACAGGCTGAGTGAAAGACAGATACGATTCAGATGCAAACAAGCAGCTCAAATGTGCTTTGCAACTGTAGCAAAGCCACATATGAAGCAGTGTTATTTTAGCATTATTTATATACTATCATAGTTATTATTATTTTTGTTTAATTCTAAATTTAGCTTAATTTCTGGCAATTTGTTTTTAGTGCTTTTGTCATTTTTATTTTTTTCATATTTAATTTTATTTCAGCTTTATTTCCATTAACAAAAGTTTTTTATTTTTTTATATAGTTCTCTGTTAAAAAGGTAAAGTTTATTTTATAATTTTTCAGCTTTATTTCAATTTTTAATAGTTTAAGGTTTAGTTAACAACAATAATAACCCTGATATGAAGTTACTGATGCAGATAAAGCAACTAATACCAGTCAATAACTATTGATATTTGCTGGTCAATATCTAACTGCGGACTGAATATTTTTATATTTTGGATTGCTGTCATCTTGCTCTAATTAAAGGATGGCACTACACATGACATTTTTTAAAAAAGCCCTATTTTTTGAAGAGTGCTTTCCTATAACTGATTTGACAGTACAAAAACGAATGTTTTTAGGTTTTAATGAGTTTATCTGAACAGCTTTTATATAATTTGGGTCTGTTCCTCACACAAAGTGATCCATGCTAAACTATTCAAAAACATTTGTCTGGGGTCAGAGAGATTTGTATGTTCTTGAAAACAGTCTCTTAGGCTGCATTCATTTGATTAAAAATACAGCAAAAAACAGGAAAATTGTGAAATATTATTGTAGTTAAAAAAAAAACTGTTTTCTATTTTAACATTTTAAAATGCAATTTATTCCTGTGATGCAAAGCTGAATTTTGAGTATTGAATCTTCATCAGCCATAACTCCAGTGTTTGGTCTCACATGATTTTTGCTGCTTAATATTTTTGTGGAAATCATGATGTATTTTTTTTTCAGGATTCTTTGATGAATAGAAAGTTCAAAAGAAGAGCATTTATTAGAATTTTTTGTAACATCATAAATGCCTTTACTGTCACTTTTGAACAATTGGCCTGCAAAAAGGGCCTGCAAAAAGGGTAGATTTAGTGATCTCTCACCTGTAAGAAGAGCTTGTAGATCATGGCTTGCAGCTCTTTAACGTCCTCACACATGACTGACTGCTCAGCTGTACTCCGTGCAGCAAAAACGTCCTCATTCAGAGGTCCACTACAGAGAAGACACACAAAAACAAGTGTTTCTGTATGAGCAAATGTCGATGCTTGGATACACAACACAACTGGCGCACTCACGAGCCGGCGCTTACGTGCGAACTTTGTGCCTTCCGATGATGAAGGCCACCTTACGGCTCCAGGGGTTGATGAAGCTGGACCAGCTGGAGTCCAGGGTGACGTAGTCGCCGTTCTGACACTGGAACCGGATGGGTGAGTGTTCAAACGGAGGCTGGCCCGCGTACTTCAGAACTGAAGGGATCATGACAAATTTTATTAACACCTTTTTATAACAAGACTGCTAAAGACTTTACGGTGTAGTTGTAACGGACATACTTTTGCGGTGCATGGACAGCATGAGCAGGCGGTCGTCTGGATGCAGGCAGGTCAGAACTGAGGTACCGATCAGATCCTGAGGGAGGTAGCCGAGCAAAGGCACCGCACTGCGGACCGACACACACAACTAATACATGAGGAATCACTTCACAGTAATGAGTTTACCACAAGAAAATGCATTTATTTCAAGTCTTTGCCCCTAAAATGCTTGTCTTATGCTACTGATTACACATGATGGTTGAAAAAAGTCCAAGTCGTTATTTGTATGAAAAAGACTTAATTCAAGCACAGAATATCACAATATTAAACTAATGCGGGTGACAAACCTAGAACTACTTCATAGTCGTGTGGTTATATGTGACCCTGGACCACAAAACCAGTCATAAGGGTAAATTTTTTAAAATTGAGATTTATACACCATCTCAAAGCTGAATAAATAAGCTTTCCATTGATGTTTGGTTTGTTATAGGACAATGTGTATATGTGATGGGACGATATTTGGCCGAGATACAACTATTTGAAAATCTGGAATCTGAGGGTGCAAAAAATCTAAATATTGAGAATATCGCCTTTAAAGTTGTCCAAATGAAGTTCTTAGCAATGCATATTACTAATCCAAAGTTAAGTTTTGATATATTTACAGTAGGAAATTTACAAAATATCTTCATGGAACATGATCTTTCTTTACTTATTATCCTAATGATTTTTGGCATAAAAGAAAAATCTATAATTTTGACCCATACAATGTATTGTTGGATATTGCTACAAATATAAAAAAATCAAAATATTGAGAAAATCATCTTTAAAGTTTTCCAAATGAAGTTCTTAGCAATGCAGATTACTAATCAAAAATTACGTTTTTGGTAGGAAATGTACAAAATATCTTCATGGAACATGATCTTTCTTTACTTATTATCCTAATGATTTTTGGCATAAAAGAAAAATCAATAATTTTGACCCATACAATGTATTTTTGGCTATTGCTATAAATATACCCCAGCGACTTCAGACTGGTTTTGTGCTCCAGGGTCACATATAAGGGTCACCGTAACACCCGGTCATTACTGCAAAATAAACCCTAATGTGAAGCTGCTGACTGAACATTACGTTTCTTTAGTAAGCAGCCATGTAAGAAGTCAGGAGCTTCTTACAGTTACTTACTAAATATATAAATACACAGAAAGAAACACTGATTAGAGTTGAAATTATTATTATTAAGTTTTTAATATAAAGAGGCAACAAGACAAACACTGTAATAATTTTATGATATTATTATCATCATCATTATTATTAATGCTTCTCAGCTTTACTCAACATATGTGCAACATATTTTATATTACTACTAGCACTACTAATATGCTGCTCAGCCATACTCTGTGCAACATAATATTTAATAATAATAATAATAATAATATGCTGATCAGCTTTACTCCGTGCAACATATTATTTTCAAATAGCAATACTACTACTACTAATAATAATAATAATGTGGTACTCAGCTGGTATTATTTTCAAACAACAACAACAATAATAATAATTGTATTATTTGAACACATAACCATTCGCCCAAGCTGCTGATTCCTTTACTTGGCTCTTGTGACTAAAGGTGAAAATCACTCACCGGTCATCCACTTCTAAAAAGACACAGCCTGGTGAGTGAGTCGTGCTGAAAATGCGCTTGTCCATGGGAATGCGAGGGGCTGGAGACAAAGCAACAAGCAAACAAACCCAAATAGTGATCATTAGATCAGACAGCCAAAAGTAAAAGCAAAAAAGGCAAACAGGTAACATATTGAGGTCATGTGTCAAAGTACTATACTACTGTTTCAGAACGTGGCGGGGTGAAAGGTCACGCGGCTCGTACCCTCATATCCTGAGATGATGCGTTCGGCCAGGGCCAGACAGCACGGCTCCTCCTCTGCTCTCGATCCCTGAACCTTCAGCAGGTACGGAGTGATCCGGAACGGACTATAACGCATTTCTCCATCTCTATCTTTCCCTCCTCTGAACACAGACACACACACACACAAAACGTTCAAAAATATTATCAGTCTGACTCAACTGACAACAGAGAGAGCAAAAACCAAACTAAATTGAATTGCATAATGACGCTATTATCTTCTATAGAGCTGCATTATAGATTAAATAAGTTGGTGTCATAATATAATGGAGCTCAACTGAATCAACATTGAACTAAACTGAGCTGAATAATGAAACCATGTTCTGTAGAGCTGCTTTACAGCTGAAATTGTATGTTTAACTTTGCTATTTTCTTGTTTATTACTGTGAAGCTGCTTTGAAACAATCTGTACGGTATAAAGTGCTATATTAATACATGCAATGTGATTTGACATACGGAGATATCAGATTAGAATGAGTAGTAATGAACTGCAATTTAAAAGTCCACAGGAAGTAGAAATGAAGACATAAATAATGATCTTATGAGGTGAAACGCACTCACCTGATTCGACAGAAGAAGGACTTGACCTGGGCACATTTATACAGAACCGCCGCTACAGAGAGACAAAGACGATTAACGTTTTTCATTCCGAAATCGAACATTTTCTATTGACCTACCTACATTTTTCAAAGAAGTTTGCATGATTAAATGTATGTGCAATATCAGCGAAATGATTCATAACTGGAGCTTTAAACTGGAATTTTACAGTTCCAGAGCGCCTCACCGCTGTCTGTGCCCACGTTCCAGGGCGGCAGTCGCGGCTGCGCCGTGTGCGAGTAAAACACATTGACGTCCTGATGGTACAGCAGCTCCACGAACTTGGCAGATTCCAGAAACTTCCTCTTGCAGTGAAGCACGCTGGAGGCCTGTTCAGACGCGTAAACCACCTTCCCGGAGGCCAGAGAGAAGACCACAACAAACGTGTCCTAAAAAACACAAGAGAACTGTACGTGAACGCCTCGTACCCACACCCAGAGTTTATTTACAGATATTTTGAAGAATGTTGGAATACTATGGAAGTCAATGTTTGGTTACCAGCATTCTTCAGAACATGGATGAGTAAATGATGACAGAATTTTCATTTTTTGTGTCAATTATCCCTTTAAGGCAAGAAAACACAGGTGAATAGGGCAAAAAAAATAACTAATAGATATCAACCAGATTGATTACATTAAGAATTGCAAAATCATTTTATTTTTAATTGTACATTTTCTGACATTTTTAAATATACATTATCTATTTAAATATGTATCAATTTGCACACCTTTCCAAAACATAAATCTGAACACTGGATATAGCCAGGTTCAAAATATTGAATTTTGACGACATTTTAAATTAAAAGATTTTTACAAAGTGGATTTTGAATATCTTTTTATCACTCTATAAATCAGAAAATACTGTCAACAGACAGAAAAAAGTACATTTTCACTATGTTTTAAGGAATAAAATGTTGTATAAAATCAGGCAAATGATATATGAACGGCCCAGAGTTATTTTAGTATCATTGAGATACTATTAAAGTTTTTGTTAATATCTTTAATTACATTTTTTCTTTCATGCTCATTTTAGTAGTAATTTAGTTGAGTGTTTTTGTAGTTTCTAAATACGTCTACATCATTTTTTATTAATTATTTCAGTTTTAGTTATTTAAGCACATCAAGTTAAACTAAAGAAATGCAAGTTATATATATATATATATATATATTTTTTTTTTTTTACATTTATTTTATTTCAAGTAGTGACTTATTTATTTTTGTGATTTTAGTTTTAATTTTATTTTTAGCCAACTATATTAACTCTGGAACAAACCCCAGTGTAAGAACATTCAGAATATCGACAGAAACAAAATCATAAATTTGGTGCTGCTGCAAAGGAGATTTCTGACTTTTGATAACCTTTAAATATAGGCCTTGTAATTAAAACCTACAGATGCAAATAGATACAAGTATATTTTGGATGTTTTTTATCCACTAGTCTGAACAACACGTTATGAAAAGCCAAATAGTCCAAAACCTCAAAATGACCAGTGCATGAAAAAAACACTGTTTTGCCTGTAGTGTCTTGCATCAAGGCTTTCAGAGGAAACGGAGCAGGACATACAGTGTTTTTCAGCGTGTGTTCTGAAGCGATTCCCTCCAGCTCCTCCAGCGAGCACACAGTAGCTTTTCGTCTCTTCTCCAGTCCGCTGCTCATTAGTACGTTGTAGTACTCGCTGTTTGCTGCAGGGGGCGTCAGAGGAAGTGTAAAAAATTAGCCACAATCCAGTTAATCAGTGTTTAATCAGTGTTTGGCTTAAACAACAGAGCAGGTGGCTCACAAGAGATCATGCCAGATATTACAACACCAATTTCACCTAGCATTACATCATAGACTGACTATTGACATTTATTTCAAATGATGGCAAACAGAAATAAACAACCATAGGCACTAAAGAAGCTTTAACTAATGCTACTAAAATAGATTTAATTAATAAAACAAAATGCATAATGATTAAATCCCTTAAAATATTACCAAAATTTTACACTACAGTTATTGTTTCTACATAAACTCAATGCAAAAACTTTTTTCTGCAATCCTGCCATTCAGTTATGACAAAATTGCAGTATATTGTGCAAAACAAAACACGAGTTTGCAGAACTTGCAGCAAACCTATAGCAACACAACAACAGTTATGTCGCGAAAGCTTATGTGTGAGTGAAAATATGAACTTTCTGCACATTTGTGGCAAAATAAAAAATAAAACGACAAATATTCTGAAAGCTTCTTACACTACTGTTAAAACTGCAGTTTATCTCATTAAAACAATTCCTCTGTGGTGTTTTAGCAGATTTCCTTGCATAAGCGACATTAAAGTGGCATTTTTAAACTGAACTTTTTCCAAGTGATAACTGTAGTCTATAAGACTTTCTTCGGGCATATCAGAAAACTTGTTGTTTGAACAGCCATACATTATTTCAGACATTAAGAAGCTACTGACAACAAATAAGTGATCAAAACATATCAAGTATGAATGATTCAGTAGAAAGTTTCCTGTGTTTTGGTGACTGATATTGTAGCAATAGTGTCATCAGAACATCTGCTGTGGTTCAATGAGGGCAACATTGTAAACTAAATATAATGAAAGTTTCCCAATTACTTAACGACATGACGCACATGATGACCTCATGTAGAAGCTATCAGCATCTGCCCAGATCATCTTAATACAGGCATAATACTGCAAGAAGTATCTGATGCAGCGATAAACATGGGAAAGCGCTGACGACTGAAAGCACTACGTGCACAAACACCGTGAACAGATTTAGCAGGAGTTCACTGCCAGCGAGCGGTTAGGACCTTCCTGCAGACGCAGCTAACAGGCTGTTACATAATCACAGACGTTCTGCTGCGGACCTGAATGTGTGCTGCCGTTCTAACAGGAGTCCCTCTAGTGGCTTTATGCTTTGAGTGTGTGTGTGTGTGTGTGTGTGTGTGTGTGTGTAAGTGTATGTATGCCCATTATGAGGACCTAACGTCCCCACAAGGATACATTTTGAAGTTTGAAAATCTAAAAATGTTGAAAGTTTTGTGTGAGGTGTAGGTTTAGGGGGATAGAAAATACAGTTTGTACAGTTATAAAAACCATTACACCTATGAAAACATGGAAAGCAGTGTACGTGTACCTTGTACTTGTTTGACACAGTTCAGTGCGTGGTTCAGTGCCTCCACCGTACTGGCTTTACTGCGGCTTCTCTTCTCCGACGGCAGCCGTTTCTTCATCTCCTGCACCGTCTGCATCATCTCTCGGTGCGTCTGCTCACGGCCGTGCTCCGTCTGCTCACTGCACATGCACACGCTTGGTTTTGTTTAAGAATTCACATTCATTATAACTTTAACCTAATTTCAATTAATGATATACGGAAGCCAATTTCTGCCACATAAGAAAATGTGTTGGAAAGCCAACATGACGACTAAAGTTGAAAGTATGAGATACTAAGTCATAATTCTGAAATAAAAAGTTACCTGGCTAAGACTTTTTATATCAATTTCAACTTTTTGTCAATTTATCTAATAATTATGACTTATAAAATGTCATAATTGTAACAAAAAAAAAATCTACTCATAATTATGATTTAACAAAGCATGATTTTGTTGTGTGATGGAAATAGGCTTCCATAATTTTAATAGGTAATATGGATGTAGAAATTATTTGAAAATTGTGACTTTTAAAGTCATAATTATGCCTTTTTAGCTCATAATTTCAACTCTTTATTAATTTTTCAACTTTTCTCATAAGTGATGTCACTTTTGGCTCTTTATTAAAAGAAATGTAAAAAGTAATTCTCAATGTTATATAGATATTTTATCTCATGATTTTGACTTTTTATGTCAGAAGTATGATTTAGTAATGATTTTGTTATGTGGGCAAAATTTCTAATAATTATCTTCCTTTTTCTCATAATTTCAACTTCTGGTCAATTTATCTCATAATTAACTTGGTATGTCAATAACGACTTTTTATATTATAATTTCAACTTGGGTCATAATTATGACTTTTTATGAATTTTTTTATTCTTATTGGTTTAGCAAAGCATGATTTTGTTTTCTTATGTGTTGCGGAATTGGGCTTCCATAATTCTAATAACTTATATAGGTTAAGAAATGATATGACAAATGAAGGGATTTTACTATATTTTTATAATACTGTAAATAGGTTACTGTAAAATTCAGTTGTTGATCAAATTTGAAGCGAGTTAGTTTACCTGCACTCTGTGTGATGAGCGCTGTGAAAACTGGACGATGAGGAACCAGTGGCAGATTTTGAGCTGAACACACAAAGAGATGAAGGAGCACTTGATTTAACCAGAAGTCTAATATTACACACAAAATGACACAATCATGTGGTTGCAAATTGCTGGTCTATTAGACAGTTTCATTTAGAACTGAGCTTTCAAAGCAACCGATTCCTACCTTTTAAATCAGGAAGAAAGAAAACACTCAAACGGACTTGCAAAAGTTGACTACTCACAGTTAGGGGTTTGTTCAAATCACTAACCTTCGGCATGAGCAGTATAATTGTGAGTCTTGTACCTCTTGGTGCTTCCTGATCCTATGGTGCTTCCAGGGCTGCAACTGGCCGAGGAACGATGATGTCGTGAGCCCCTGACACTGTCGTTTCCGCTGCTGGAGTCGTGACCGCTGTTCATGTCCACATCCTCGTGCGTCTGCTCTCCTCCGCTCTCCTCACAGCCCGCTGAGCTTTCCCCTCTGCTGGTCCTTCCTCGCTGCTCCTCGGCTTCCTCCTCCTCACCTGAACCGGACCCGGACCCTGATCCGCTGGTCCCGGGGTCCTGCCCGCTGGTAGCTTGGTCCGTCTGCCCCAAACACTTGCTGGAGCCTGGAGAAGAGTTCTCCTCTTCTCCATCGGGAAAGCCGTCTCTTCCCAGCATTCCCCGCAAGTTCTCCTCCAACCACTGCCCACCTCTACTGAAGCTCTGATCCAGAATCTAGACGCTCCGCTGTTTTTGTCCACATTAACAATGAAGGTCTACAGAGAAACCCATGGGGATGATGATGATGTTTTACTAGGTGGTTACATACAGTCTTCCATTGAAAGAACTGCAAAAGAAATGCAGATAAATGTCAGAACCACTAAAAGTGTGTGTGTAAATAAATAAATAAATAAATACATATGAATATTTAATATATTTTATTTCAAATCTTTCCAATGAACATTTAGAAATATTTAATATATTTTAATAATATATTTTATTTCAAATACATTACAAATGTAAAATTTTATATATATATATATATATATATATTGTATCATTTTGTGTATATTGAAATAATATTTACTAAGATATAATATAACATTGTCCGAAATATTTTTTTAAACTATACTTCATATTTACCCAGAAATAGCTTTTTAAGATCGACAATGTATATATATTTTTTTCTCCTTTTCATAATATATTTTAGCATTTGAAGCTCTAAACATTTAATTTTCGATTTGGAAAATATGTTTTCTTGAACCGTGCTTTTTACAATGTATATTAATTGAAATATAATTTGACCATGGTACATCAATATGATGCATTATGCTTTTCAGAGGAGGTTACATACATTGCCTAGGACAAAATAAGCAAGAAAACAACAAATTCAACACATTGCATCTCATTAACGACTGGAATTATTGTATTATGAAGATGAGGTTTTGCGCATGCAGCACAAGATGGCTAAATGTGAACATAATCATATGAGCTTTCATGCTAAAAAAACAACAACACAAAAGCCTGATGGCACTTTGGACAAAGATGACCAATGAAGTGTATAAAATGTTTATCTTTGTCCAAAGTGCCTCATAAGTACATTTATTAGAGGTAAAGTGTTTTTAACACAAAAATGACAGAAGATCTCTGTAATTTCAGACATCAAATCTTTCATCCGACAACCTTCAGACTACATTTTTGCAATTTATGCAGATCATTTTATTATTTGTCAGACAAAAACTGGAAGTCTGATTACTTATAAGTATGCATCAAAGTTTAATATTTCTGGGTTATGAATTTGTTCTGGCTTCACAGACATCACTAAATACCAGATAATTTTCATCAAATTTTTTGGCCTGCATATCTCTTGTCTGGACACACGGTGCTGACGTCTCACTTTTGATATTCTAGGGTCGTGACCTGTCTGTGTAATGACTGCTGCCGTTTCTACAGCGACTCTGACGCAATCATTCTCAAAATAGGCTGTGTCAGAGTAGGACTAGTTCAGGTATTAAAACTCGGGTTTTAAAAAATGACAAAATAGACATGCTGGACCTCATCTGTGCACAATTCAGACAGACCTCCCTGCTAATTTTAAAACACACAGGCTTCAGTTAGAAACGGTCCTACAGAAGCTCTAGGCAAGGTTATTATAGTTAGCTAAAGCTGAAATAAAACCATTTTTGTTACTCGAAATAAAATAAAAAATAAAATAAAATAAAAATTTCGGCTAGTTGCCAAGGCACCATTTCACATCTTCAGTTAGTTTATCTAAATGTACTAAAATAATTGTGTAACGACTGCTGCCGTTTCTACAGCGACTCTGACGCAATCATTCTCAAAATAGGCTGTGTCAGAGTAGGACTAGGTCAGGTATTAAAACTCGGGTTTTAAAAAATGACAAAATAGACTTGCTGGACCTCATCTGTGCACAATTCAGACAGACCTCCCTGCTAATTTTAAAACACACAGGCTTCAGTTAGAAACGGTCCTACAGAAGCTCTAGGCAAGGTTATTATAGTTAGCTAAAGCTGAAATAAAACCATTTTTGTTACTCGAAATAAAATAAAAAATAAAATAAAATAAAAATTTCGGCTAGTTGCCAAGGCACCATTTCACATCTTCAGTTAGTTTATCTAAATGTACTAAAATAATTACAACTAAAACTGAAATAAAAAAAAGAAAACTATATAGACATAAAAATAAACTAATAAAAATGACAAAAGCGCACAACAAAATTGCTACAACCTAAAAATTTTAATGTAGGGCTGCCACTAACGACTTCGATTAATCTATCGACTAATTTATCGATTAATCTAAACGATTAATTTCCCCCGCAAAAAATCAACAATTTTTCTTAAGAATATTTTATTAAACTATATTTTATTAAACCAAATGAAATCTCAAAACAACTCAACAGAAAGCCAAAAAGGGCGGCAATCTGTGCTTTCAGTAAATATGCATCATGATTATGTGATTATATAATACTGGTCATGTATACACACACAATTCTTTGTCATTCACATTTATGCACAACTGTTTCTTTATCTCATGTCTTTAGTACAGAAAAATCTTATCAGATCTTGTGCAACAGGTAATAATCTTTACATACCCTACATCCGACTGTGAACCATAAAACGCTACATGTATCTTTACTTTACTCATTTTTACACAGTAAAAAGTTAAGATAAGCTGATGCATGTCCTCAGGTTACACAGACCAGACATAATGAAACTCCTTGTGTTCTGGTGAATCAACTGTATGGGAAATAGCACTGGGACCCCAAAAAGGATTCGACAGACAAATAGAAGGATAACTAGATTTAAAGCAGAAGTGTATCATTTCTGCAAAAGTAAAACAGGTTTCCCCAGACAGTCCCGCTCCAAACTCATGCCATTGGTTGAGTCAGTGCAGCTGGTTTTATTTACAGCAATGTTTTATTAGTAAAATCAACCTATGAATGGCTTATATATAAGGCGACCAGATTTCTGAAATGAAAACCGGGGACGTTTCCTAGTATTCAAAATATCATTGATATCTCACTTGTGATTATCTACAAATTAAAAAACGGGGACAATTTATTTGTGCATGTTTTTGTTTTTTAATTGTTGTGGTTTTCATATATTAATATGACAGCTCCAGGCGGGCGACAGGACACCAAAAACCAGGACTGTCCCCAGAAAACAGGGATGTCTGGTCACCCTATAGCTTATAGTTGTGTGGGATATGTCTAGAGAATGCATTTCACCATCAAAAAAATAATTGTTTAAATGACTATATTTGGTACGCATCTGACACTCAGACCCTCAACCCTGGTTTGTGATACATCTGCTGATATTTGGCCTTCTTTAAAGGATGATATTGTTGATATTTGGCCACATTTTTCCTAACCAGACATGCCTGATTAACAGTGCCAGTTTCACCGATTTCTTGCTAATGTGCAGTTTCTCAAAATATGAAATTTCAGTAAATATTGCATGGAATATTTGCTCAAAGTTGCTGTTGAACAATGACCACACATTTCCATGACTGTGTAACCTGACTGATTCTCAAATGAACATTAGGCTATTGGTTTAAATAAGATACAGGTGGTTATTCACAATAAATATCAAATTTTAAATAATAAACGATAACAAAGTACTTTCCTGGCTCATTCATAAAACTCCTAAGTTCTGAAGAACCACCTTAAGAAATGAAACACTAATAATAACTCATTGTAGCTCATGCAAATGTATATAATGTTTATTTCACAAGACGATATTTTGATATTAAGCAACAGACGCCCACTATCACACTTGGCGTATTCACACATCATTTAGGATTCACTTGAGAAAAAACAACAACAAAAAAACATCCTCTATAGTTTCCACATTAATAACAAACCCACAAGACAGAATGTTTGTGATACTGTTGCTCACCCCCGCCATTGCACATGCACGGCCACGAGTCTACTTACAGAAAGATATTCACCTAATTCCCTCTATCTGACCCGAACATCTCACACAGACCCGCCAAAATGACAAAAACATAAAGAGTTTAAATGAAATCGGTCATTTAATAGTAAATGACAAGTCAGATGGGCGGTGCGCATGCGCAGAGTTACATGCATAACCTAACGCAATGTTTCACAACAAAAACAAAGAGATTATCATACATTTGATGCATAATAAGTGAATGCTGGTGATTATATGATATAGATAATTAATAACGTAATCATAACATGGTATACCTTAAATCGTAGGAGTTAATCGTCGAAGTCTTGACGTATTAAACTCTCTTGAATATCACAGCACTATTCTATCTATAAATCTGTTTCGTGCGCTTGAGATGCGTTAAAGAGGAGTACTTACTTGATGTTTATGTTCAATAATCACTTGCTCCAGTTTCTCGCGAGTCCCTCCATCCGGAACGCAACACATCAGCCCCACGTGAGTCTGGCCGACCGGAGCCACGCCTTCTCGACTCCCATTGGTCGGAGCGTTCTCCCCGTGACAGTATGATTGGTCAATGGGCGTGGTCATGACGCCAGCCTAGCCGAGGATGCGGCTGGACTCACGTGTATGACCATGTTACATAATCGATGAAAACAATGGCGTAGCAGTGGAGATCTGGCGTGGTAACGAGCCGTTATTACGCCGCTCTCCCCGGGTTAAAGGGGTCATATGACGTTGCTAAAAGGAACATTATTTTGTGTACACACAGCGACTCCACAACATGGCAGCGGCGGCAACAGCAAGAATTAAAGTTACGCCTTCTTTCTTTGCTGAACATTTGGGCGGCGTTATGCGAATCTTCCCACATTGTGACGTAGACATGTGGGGGCGTGTGTTTTAGGTAGGAGTGGTTGACAACTTTTTTTAAAGAATATCTCTTTGGATTTGAGACTTTAGTTTTTGCAACTTTACAGATCTTCTTTATGAACCAAGAGCTTGTAATACTCCAAAGAGACAGGACAAATTGAAATCGCATCATATGACCCCTTTAAATCAGGTCACACACCGTACGGGTGCGATTACTTGTGTTAAATAACTAAAAAACGTTAAATATCGTAAGTTGCCGTCACTACATGTGGGGCGTGATGCCATAGGTTTCGTCGCGGGCTGGAGTAAAGTAGATTAGATAGCTTACCTTCCTCCTGATCTACTTTCCTGCATATTATGAATACATTCATACATTTCGCGCACGGTTTAGTGTAGTGCACATTTCTTTTTACGCAGACATAAACCATACAACGTCTTTTGAACCAAGTTAGGTTTCAAGAATGGCCAAAAAGAAACAGCTTTCTGTTGAAACCCCTCAGTCTGATGTTGTTTTGAGAGTTAATGGCCGTTTCACAGGATCATGATGTGCACTCCTGTCTTGACAGAAGATTGTAAACTGGATTAAACCAGCACAATGGCAGCAGTGGATGGTTAAGATGCACAACAACCAGAGGACAAGTACATCAGAACATCTCTTCTCCTTAATGAACACAGTATCTGAAATAACAAGTGATTTGAAGCATCCTCTACTGTAATCTATGCAGCCCTTTGTGAGTAAAATGTGAGTACTAAAGGATGTTAAATCTGTGTTTTATTGAGCCAACACGGGCAATTCAACAGGCTTAACAGTTTGTAAGGCCACAGTATAGAATTGCATTTGTTTACAATGTATACACATGTGAGATATACAAAGAGATACATACAAAAAAAGCTCAGATAAACAAAAATAAAATGTTTTGGCACCGTGAGCGAGAGGTGAGCAAAGATATTTCCTAGCAAACTATTTCTACCTAAGGCAACACATATAATGCAGTTAAATTATTAGTGAATTATCACTTCAAAATTCAATCTTTGAAGAAGATATCAAACTTACATTGTTACGGGATGGCAGTGGAGTTGTTTAAAGGCACGTCTGTGGTTGTTCAGGAAAGGTTCTTATGTCTTGTTGGCACAGAAAGACTCTGACGCAGGCACAGAAAGACTCTGACGCAGCCAAAACAAGAGTGTCTGATTACTGCCGTCCACTGAAAGAGTCCATGAGGGATTCATAAATGAGATCTTGGCAAATGGCTTTCACAACAAGAGTTTTGGTCAATATGTTTTGGCCTCCAAATGATAGCGAAATGACTCATATTATCATGAAAGTATGCGTTATGGTTTTGGATCATTTTGTAACCTGTACACTGTCAGTCATAGTTCTGTGGTTTGCACAGAGGAGTGTGTTAGATGTGTATGGAAATGGCATTCTGAAACATATTCAAATCCTAGTTATTAAAAACAACACCTAAAAAAAACAAAAAAAAACCCATTGAGGATAGTTTACAAGATATTCTTTTGAAAATCAGCAGGTTAGAACGTATTGGAAGAGCATTCATTCATTCGTTATATCTCTCTTCCTTCTGAAGTCGATACTACTTCATATCCTGATCTTTTCTTCCAATCATAACCAGATTTCTGACTTTATGACTGCGTCCAGACTGAAAGAGGCAAAAAGAGCAGGGTTTAGATTTAATATTAATATACTTTCATAAGACTACCATATATTTAATAATAATCAAATACATTCGGCTGGCGTCTCATGATCAGTGCATTTTGAGCAACTGCCACCCATGTTAGGGAGTTAAAGAGGCTGTGAATACTTTGATACTCACTGATAATGACGACAATAATGACAACAACCACGGCTATCAAAATGGCCCACATCTGCAAAGACAACAAACAAGAACATATTGTCATTTGGTGCCTTAGGTTCAAAGGTTATACACTTTTTATTGAAAATATATTATTTGCTACCTGCTTTAGCAATGACCACTTCTTCTTAATACACACACACACACACTAATAGATAAATGTCCTATATTTTTTAAATGTAAATGGAATGACCTTTATATTTCTTAATATTTACTATGACCTTTTGTGAGAACAAAAACTAACCTCTATGTATTTTTACAATAACAAGACAAAAAATTAAATTATCTTTTGCATATTAGTGTCTTTGTTTTTGCATATGAGCTTATGGGAAACACAGAAGTTATACTATCATTATACTATAGTATAACACAGTATGACACTAGTATAACACTATAGTATACACTATACACAGAGTTATGCTACAGTTATATGTTATTGTTATATTGCAGATGCATGAAGAACTCAAAAACTGGGAGCAAATCTTTTGGAAAACATCCAATCATCTCTGGAGCCTTAAAGGGGTCATATGATGCGATTTCAAGTTTTCCTTTCTCTTTGGAGTGTTACAAGCTGTTCGTGAATAGATAAGATCCCTAAAGTTGCTAAGACTAAAGTCTCAAACCCAAAGAGATATTCTTTATAAAAGTTAAGACTGGTCCACACACCCT